ATATATTATATATTATAATAGAATTAACATCTATTAGATATTTAATAAATAAGTGCTCCAAAATCATCCCACTTTCCCTATGATCGTCCCTAAGTTAAGTTAAGAATAGGTCAATTTTTGGAGACTGGAGCAAAAAATTTGTATAGAAGTGTGATAATTTTGGGAAAAAGTGAGGGTAACGGTCCAAATCTCATTATCCTAGTGAATAACACTACAAAGTAAAATCTCAAAAATTATCCAAGTGTTCCTATAACTAGTATTCATCCCGTGCTAAGCGCGACATCCTTACAGATTTTTTTTTGTGCGTAAATTTTCCTCGCCTTATTTTTTTATTTTATCATGATAAATTTATCTTAAACATACTTGAAGTCCATCATATATAAGCAATGAGGATATTGTTTTGTCACGATAAATTTATCTTAAACATAGTTGAAGTCCATCATATATAACCAATGAGGATATGTAGATAGGTATTTGTTTGCAATTCATCATATACTTGAAGTCCATATTTAAACATAAAAACATAGATAAATTAAAACTCTTAATACATATAGTTAAATCTCTTGCTTATCCCTTCAAGTAATGTACATAGTTGTGAAGTTCAACATTATGGATTTGTTAATCCTTTAACTTGGCATTTAACCTGACAACTGTGATATATGATCTGATATATGCTCCTGTAAACAAGTAAAATTTTTTGAATAAAACCTCAAATGTTTTACATATACAGATAAAAAAGATCAAATCTATTGCAATTACATTTAACAATAGTATCGAAATTAAGTTTCAATACACATCTTAAACTTTTGCATAATTACAGCTACATAATATTGATTAATGATGATAAGGGCCAATTGCACTTAATTACTCTACAGCATCAACACTTAAATTTGATATCTTGAAGTTCAAATTTGCCCAAATAATATCATAAAGTTTCATGAATTTTATCTTTAATATCATCAGTTATACCATCCTTTTAACTTTTTATTTAAAAGGCCTCACATTTGTTCCTATCTTCCTTCTTCAGTCAACTAAAAGCACTAAAATTTAGCATTGAATTGTAACAAAAACAACCCCTTCTTAACTATTTTGACAATAAAATTCGACGTGAATGCCCTAAACTGAAAGCAAGAATGAACACAAAATATTTTCTAGGAAAATTTATACTTCCAGGTGAAAATTTGACTAAACCTCAAGGTATTAAAGTGCAATTAACCCCAGAAAATATTTAAATTTAAAAAAACAAAATAGAAAAACCCTCTCACCAGAGATGGCGAACTCTCCTCTTGTGATTATCCTAACAAATATGAGAAGGGTTCAGAACCCACAAAAAAACCCGAATGAAGTTTTTGATCACCAATTGCCAACAAAAGTTTTAGGAGAAAAACAATGACCAGGTTTTCTAAAATCAAGAAAGAAGAATAATATAAGAGACGCACAAAGTATTTACAATATCAAAGCATGTTCTAAGTCAAAATATAAAAACAAAGTTAATTAAGATTACAAATAACCCTGTTGACAACAATATATATTCAACAGCTCCCAATTTCAATCCCCTCATTTCAAGAACTGCAAAAATTCTAATCTCTCATTTCTTTAAGATCAAGTGCTATAGTGAAATTAACGTAGTTCACTGCCACATGCAGAATTTTACCTATGCTCACGGATCGAGAGAGGGATCCAGAGAGAGAGCTTGAGAGAAAGGCGGAGGAGGAGCTCGACAGCGAGATCGGGGAGGATGGGAGGGCTAAAGGTGGAGGATGAGCTCGACGGAGAAATCGCCGAGGAGGAGGGGTTGGGGTCACAGGGGAGAGAGAGATTGGTCGGTGGAGATGGTCGATCGGCAAAGAGAATCCAGCAGATCGAGGGGCAGAGTTGGGGTCACAAGCGACAGAGTGAGAGAGAGGGAGATGGACGGTCGGCGGGCGGAATTTTGCTGGAGAGTTTTGGGAGGATCCGGATCCTCTCCTAATAAGTCCCTTCCTAATATTTCCTCATGACCCAATCTCAACCGTCAATCTCACTAGCTCACAAATCTCACGTTCCAAAGTCCACACTTTCCTCCCTCTCCAGCCACCTTCCCCAACCTCTCAATCTCTTCCCCAATCCCTTCTCAATCTCTCCCGTTCCTCTCCGCCCGCCGCTCCCGCCCGCCCTCGCTCGCTCCTCCTGCCACCACTCCTCCCCTCGTCGACTTCTCGCCCTCCATCTTCACCACCCTCCCCTCGTCCCCCTCCGTCGCCACTTGACTCACCTCCGTCACGAAGCCAGTCAGCCGCTCTCTCTCTCGTTGTCAATTTCCTCCGCCATCCTCCTCCTCGCTCCTGTCGACTTCTCCTCCTCCATCTCCACCACTCGCCCTCACCCCCCTCCGCCGTAGCTGACTCCACCTCCGCTCACGGAGCCGGCCAAGTGCTCTCTCTGTTGTTAATTTCCTTCGCCAGTCCTCCCCTCGCCGAGTTCTCCTCCTCCTCCATCTCCACCACCCACCCCCTCGTCCCCCTCCGCCCCAGCCGACCCACCTCCGTCGCGGAGCTGGCTAGCGCTCTCTCTCCATTGTCATTTCGACGGCCATCACTGTATTTTTTTGATAATTCATTAATTTTAAATTTAAGATGAGTTTCATAGATTTTTAATTCCAGATTAAGATTCGATGAAGAAGGTTTCTTTATGTTTGTTGTATGTATGTCAAAACTAGACTACTTGGATTATATATTATCTTAATGAATGGGAGGAGCTTATGCTAAAACAACTTGGATTTGAATACTTGATCAGTGTAGAGAAATGTGTGTAGTGATTCTGATATATGATTAACTATTGCAGGCATTATGGAAGAGCTTGTGGAAGAAAGCAATGATAGTTTGGAGCGATCGAAAGAAGACTTGAAACCTAAATTTTTTAGGGAGTTTAATTCTGAGATTGCTGCATATGACTTTTATAACGAATATGCACGTAGTGAAGGCTTTAGCATTAGAAGAGAAGCTTATGCTGCAGATAAACAAGGTGTACTCAGTTCAAGAATATTTGTTTGTTGTAAGGAAGGTTTACGGAAGGCAGATAAGAGAGACGATTTGACGAGAAATCCAAGAGGAGAGACAAGGACTAATTGTGGAGCGATTATGGGGATTAATTTGGTCAGACGTACTGGCAAGTATTCTATTTATCGTTTCTCCGAAGAGCATAACCATCCTCTTATCAACCAAGAATCTATCCATTTTATGCCATCTCATCGAAAAATCACATCATCAGATGAAGCCTTTTTAGACTTGACAGCAAATTCAGGTCATTCGTCAAATTCTGCATTTGAATTAATGGGTCAGCAAGCAGGTGGTAGAGAGTCACTAGGATTTATAATGGTAGACCAAAAGAATTACCTTGGAACTATCCGACAGAAAAAAATGAAATTTGGAGAAGCTGGTTATCTGATAGAATATTTTTCAAAGTAAATGTTGGAAAATTCTTCGTTCTTCTATGAGATGCAGTTGGACACTGAGGAACAGATTACCAACGTTTTTTGGACTGATGCTAAAATGATAATGGATAATGGTATATTTGGTGATGTGGTAAGTTTTGTTACAACTTACAAACTTAATGAAGCAAATCGATCATTTGCGGTGTTTGTTGGATTAAATCATCATAGAGGGACTATTATTTTTGGAGCTACCTTAATGTACGACGAGACTGAATCCTCCTTTATAAGGTTGTTTGAAACCTTTTTAAAGGCAATGTGTGGGAAGCCTCCACAAACCTCTTTTATTGATCAAGATGCAATGATAGCCAAGACTGTATTACATGTGATGCCAAGTACTTACCATCGACTTTGAATATGACGTTCTTTTTTTTAATGTATATGACTTTTTTTTGGTATATGTCAGGTACTTACCATCGACTTTGTATATGGAATTTTATACAAAATGCTGTCAAGAAAGTTGGCTTTTTATTTCGACACAACAATGAAGAAGATGAAGTCAATGTGTTTAACAAATTTTTTTTATCAAATTGAGGAAGAGGATGAGTTCTTGAGTGCTTGGTAGTCCATGCTTGATGAGTACGATGCACATGATGATACTTGGTTGGCTGCAACATTTGAAATAAGAAAAAAATGGGTGCATGCATATGTGAAGTGGACATGGTCAGTAGGAATGCAAACTACACAATTGAGTGAAAGCTTTAATGCTAGTTTGAAGGGGTATTTGAAATCAGACCTACAATTGCCTGAGTTTTTTACTCACTTTGTAAGAATGGTATTTGATAAGCGGTATAAGGAATTGGAAGCTGAGTATGATTTGTTGTTCCGGATTGTTCACTGCAAAATGGAGGTAAGTATCTTGATACATGCACAAGAAGTTTATACCAATGCCATATATAAGGTATTTCAAGCTCAGTTTGAATACTCTTTAAAGTCTTCCATAACAAAGTGTGTGTCCAATGGTGAAAAGTATATCTTTACTGTTGTTAAGGATGAGTTCTTTAAGGAGAGGCTAGTAAAAAGAGAAGGTCAGTTTACAGTATCTTGTAGCTGTAGGATGTTTGAAACTATAGGTGTCTTGTGTAGGCATTGCATCAAAGTGATGACAGAAGGCAGAGAAACTACACTGGTAAAAAAAAAACCTGAGCAATATATCTTAGGAAGGTGGACAAAAAATGCAAGAGTTGATAATGTTGTGCAAGACATGCATGGGCTCGAGATTGTAGAGAAGCCAAGGCTGAAACAAACTTCCTGATATAGAAGTTTATGTTCTAAGTTTGTTCGACTTGCATCAAGAGCATCTGAGAGTGAGAAGACGTATGAGGCAGTAGATATGGAAGCTGATAAGTTAGTAAAGATGGTAGAAGATATGTTACATGTAGAAATAAATGGTGAAAAAGATGTGGAAGACGAAGCCCCAAATGTCTTGGTTGATTGCACTAATAATGTAACTGCTGTGAATGCAAAGGGATTCAAAAAGAGAGAAGCCACACATCGTGGAAAACGTCGGGCAAAGGGAGGTTTTGAAGCTCAGTTACGCAAAAACAAAAAGAAGCCCGCACAGGTCTTATATTTAACTATAACTGAAGTCATTATTTACTTCTTGATGAATATAATCATTATTGATGTCTATGCAATGATAGGTAACTAAAGTTCCAAGACATTGCGATGCAATGGACCAATCTCATGTACCTTCTTCACAACAATCTCAGGTTTCAAAACAATGCTTCACATTATGTTGCTGATATACTGATCTTATGATTAGGATGAGTTTTTGCTATAGTTCATGTGTGGCCACACCAAGATTATGTAAAATAACCTTTAGTTATTGATATTGCAATAGGTCAGTGGGATTTTAAACAATACCTCTAGCATAGAGTAATGTGGTCTGACTTCATTACCTCTCAATAATTCATCTCATGTATATTTTTACTATTGTGTATAATGAGTTTTCAAACAAGTATAGTGTTATATGATTTATTACTATCAATTACAGGTACCTATGCACTCTCCTATGATGGTTAGTAATGGTAGATATATGCTGATGCCGCATCATCCGTATAACGTGAGTGTGTGTTTGCTATAAATATATGATTTTTTTTTTGCTATCTGTTTATATTATTGGTATTTTGACAGATACATGGGCATCAATTGAATATGCCAAACCAAATGTCTTGGATGTCTTATCAATAATTCTCTGGGCCAAGTTCACAAGAATTTGTTCAATCGAATATCATGGGATTTTCATTTGCACAAGACCCATAAAAATCAAATTCTGAGGAAAACTAGTGCATGAGTATATTGGCGGATATGTAGTGCAGGGACACTTTTGTAGTGCAGGGATACTTTTGTAGTGCAGGGACACTTTTGTTGTGCAGATTAGTGAATATTTTTTTAGTGTTGGGACACTTTTATTGTGCAGGGACACATTGCGATGCATGAGGTCTTTTTTATTTTTATTACTAGTTGTATTCATGCATCGTTTTTATTTTTATTACTAGTTGTACTCTGAAAATGTCTGCATGTATATCTATATATATTTGATCTTATATGGGATGAAAATTTCAGCTGATCTCAGCTCCCTTTATGTATGTTTTTCATTCTTTTTCGTCTTGTTTTTCAGTTCTTCCGTGGAGATTCTTTTTCTCTTCATTGATGTTATGTTGATATAAACACCAAATAATGGACAAGACAATGCAATTATATCAAAACACACTTTCTTTCAACAGTTTGGTGCAAAACCTCTTTGAGGGAAAAAACACCAAGCAAGATTACTTCACTAATCTTTAATCAGAGTTTACAACAGGAGTTCTTAACACAACTACCTAAAGACCTTGAACAACAATTTTCATACTACTGGTTTACAATGCAACCAGCAATGACATGGTGGATCAAGATCATATAACTTTACACAATAGAAACTAAAAAAGATCCAACTGATACTTCAATACTATCAACTAGGGGTGTCCAAAAAGCCCGCCGGCCCGGGCCCGGTCCGGAGCCCGGCCCGGGCTCGGCCCGGAAACC